TTTATCTCCTGTGGTGTCCTCACCAAGCTCCATGTCCCTCTCCCTCCTCCCACAGTGGTTGCTCTGTACCCCTACTCGAGGCAGAAGGACAATGAGCTCTCCTTTGGGCCTGGTGCTCTCCTCTTCATCACACGGCGTTACTCGGACGGATGGTGCGAGGGCGTCATGGGCGAGGAAACAGGATTCTTCCCTGGGAATTATGTTGAGCCCTGCTGAGCACCAAGGGCAGGGAAGCAGCCCCTGCATCCTCCTTGGATCTGCCCCATCCTGCTCTGCTCAGGCTGCGCTTTGCCTTGGAATTTTGGCTTTGCACAGCTGGGAATTTGCACAGCTCAGGCCTCGCAGAATGGGTGGCACTTGCTGGCACAGCAGCCAGAGCATCCCTTTCTCCCAGCATCCTCCTTGGGAATGTTTGGCACTGGGACAGTGAGGATGGAAACAGGAGGCAGCATGTTGGTCCTGGGGGATGCTCTCAGCCCTGTGGGAAGTACAAGGGCAGCACAGGATCAAAGCCCAGGAACAGGAACACCCACAGGGACAAGGAGAAGAGCAGCCCTAAGGAATCTGCCTGAGCCACAGACTCAAATCCTCCACCAAAGAGGTCCCCAGAGTGTCCCCTGCTTGTCCCCTGACCCCACTTTATTCCATCCCCCCAACTTCCACCAGCCCAAGGAAGAGAAACAACACGTTGATGCAACTCAGAGCTGTTTCACACCCAGATTTATGTCCTGGATACAACCAACTCGTGTGTCTGCAATATAGAGCTATATCTATATACATCTCTATGTATTTGTAATTCCATGGCTTTAAGTTCCACACAGTTGAACAGGGTCCAGAGGAGGAAGAACAGAGAGGAGGGAATGACACAGAAGGAGGAACAACTCAGGGCTGCTTTGGTTATTTCCTTACTGCTGGGGTTGCTGTGAGGGTTTGGAGGAATCATGAGCCACCCTCAGGGGCTGGTAAGGCTGTGGATAAATCCAGGAGAAGCCAACCCCAGAGAGCAGCAGATACTGGAGGTTCCCCCTGCAGAGTGCAATTAGAAGGGGCAATTAATACTGCAGTGGGACACGGTGTGGGGGAGTTTGGCCTCTGGGGACCTGGTGCCAGAAGTGCCACAGCACCACAACACCTCCCCAGGGAGGTTTGGCATCTCTCAACCAGGTCAGGAGGGGAATTTATTTTTTTTCCCCCTCCCTGGGGTAAGAGGGGAGTCACACGATCCAGCAAGCACACAGAGATGAGTGGCAACAGCTTGGGGCAAGGAGGAACCTGTCAGGGACACAAGGGACACTTCACCCTGGAAGCAGGAGCAGAGGATGGAAGTGGAAGGCAAGGACAGCTCCTCCTCCCTGCAGTGGGATGCAGTTCCTGTGCCCTGGGGGAGTGGGAATGGGTTTATTCCAAGGTTTATTCCAAGCTACCACCTTGCCAAAAACTTTCCTGATCCTCCTGGAGATTGATTTCAGAGAATCAAGTCTCAAGGGATAATTAACCCCATTGCAAGGCTCAGCCTGGAGCTGTGGAGGGTCTGGAGCTGCCCTGGCCAGGTGGGATGTGGAGGCTCAGGAAGGATGGGCAGCATGAATTTCCCAGATTAAATTCCCAATGGGCTCATAAATTGGGAAGGAACCCTCAGGTCCCAGCAGGAAGCTCCTCACATGGCCAGGAGGTCAGGCAGGTGAGGAGGAGGAAGAATGTGCCCACAGGGAACTGCCTTTGGGTTTGTAGGAATTCTCTTGTGAAGGCAAAAGGGAAAGAAAAAAAAAAATAAGACAACCCCAAAAAATTCCCATTAGTGTTGGCACAGGCCCATGTGGGATCAGATGTCCAAGCTGTGGAGTTGGCTCCACCTCACCATGGCAGGGGAGGGAGAAGGACCTGGAGAAAGTGCTTTATTCACCGTGGAGAAAGGAGCTTGGGAAGGCAGGAAAACATCCCAGGAGCAGGGCTAAGCGAGCAGTGCCATCAGCATGGGGTACAGGATGTGACCCCCCCCCGGCCACTTCTAGGACATGAGTCTCTCCAGAGCCACCCTCAGCACTTGGTCTTGAGGAGCTCCTGGAGATACCTGGCGACCTCCACGGCCGATTCCCAGGGGACAACAGTAGCCTGGAAGGCTCCAGGTTGTTTCTTCTCCATCTCTTGGGTCATCCTGTGCATGGGGTAGCCCTTCCTAGGGAAAGCCACATCAGCTGAGGTCAAAGTCACAGAAGGGCAGAAGTCATTGGCACCATCTCCCACGTAGAAGACCCTCTCGAATTCCACCTCCTCCTGCGCTCTCTCCGCCAGGTACTCCGTGAGGATCTTGCGTTTGCACATGTTGGCTGGGCAGTCAAGGCACTTGTGGCTGTGGTAGGGCCCCAGGGTGAAGTAGCCCCTCTTGTCAAAGCTGGATGGGTTGCTGAAGATCTTCCTGAAGAGAGAGTAGACACCTGCTGCCCTCAGCTTGGACTCGATGCCGAACATGTTGGCGTCGGAGATGAGGATGATCTCGAAGAGCTCGTGGTTCTTGGAGAGGAACTGGAAGAGGTCTGCCATGCCAGGGGACAGGGGGATGTTCTCGTAGACAGTCTTGAAGTCACTCATCTTGACACCCTGGTCACCCATGTAGGCCAGGACACGCTGCATGTACTCGTTGTAGAAGCCCTCGCGGAAGGTTTGGCGGATGTGCTCGGGCAGCGCCTGCCCCGGCGCCGCGCGCACGATCGAGTCGTCGCTGTTCTCCGCGATGATGGTCTCGTCAAAGTCGAAGACCAGGAGGTATCTGGGAGGCCGAGGGCTGGCCATGCCCACACCCTGCCAGGTGGGAGGACAACAACCACCCGTGAGGCAGTTGGTGATGACCCAAGTGCCAAGAGGATACCAACCCCATCCAGTGCTCCTGGGCTACCTCAGCCCCAGGGAGGTGATTGATCACTGTGACCTCTGGTACAGTGATGGTGGCAACCAAAGTGCCAAGAGGCCACCAGACTCCCAGTGCTCCTGGGCTACCTCAGCCCTACGGAGGTGATTAGTCACTGTGCCCAATGGCAACCAAAGTGTCCAGAGGCCACCAACCCCAGGAAGGTGATTGATCAGTGACCTCTGGAACAGTGATGGTGGCAACCAAAGTGCCAAGAGGCCACCAGACTCCCAGTGCTCCTGGGCTACCTCAGCCCTACGGAGGTGATTAGTCACTGTGCCAGAAGGTGTTAGTCACTGTGACCTCTGAACAGTGATGGTGGCAACCAAAGTGCCCAGAAGCCACCAGCCCCAAGAAGGTGATAGTCACTGTGACCTCTGAACAGTGATGGTGGCAACCAAAGTGTCCAGAGGCCACCAACCCCAGGAAGGTGATTGATCAGTGACCTCTGGAACAGTGATGGTGGCAACCAAAGTGCCAAGAAGCCACCAGCCCCAAGAAGGTGATTAGTCATTGTGACCTCTGAACAGTGATGGTGGCAACCAAAGTGCCAAGAGGCCACCAGCCCCAGGAAGGTAATTGATCACTGTGACCTCTGGTACAGTGATGGTGGCAACCAAAGTGTCCAGAGGTCACCAACTCCAGGAAGGTGATTAGTCACTGTGACCTCTGAACAGTGATGGTGGCAACCAAAGTGCCAAGAGGCCACCAGACTCCCAGTGCTCCTGGGCTACCTCAGCCCTACGGAGGTGATTAGTCACTGTGCCCAATGGCAACCAAAGTGTCCAGAGGCCACCAACCCCAGGAAGGTGATTGATCAGTGACCTCTGGAACAGTGATGGTGGGAACCAAAACCTCTGAACAGTGATGGTGGCAACCAAAGTGCCAAGAGGCCACCAGACTCCCACTGTTCCTGGGCTACCTCAGCCCTAGAGAGGTGATTAGTCACTGTGTCCAATGGCAACCAAAGTGGAACCCCAAGAAGGTGATTAGTCATTGTGACCTCTGGAACAGTGATGGTGGCAACCAAAGTGCCAAGAGGCCACCAGACTCCCAGTGCTCCTGGGCTACCTCAGCCCTACGGAGGTGATTAGTCACTGTGCCCAATGGCAACCAAAGTGGCCTCACCCAGTATTCCTGGGCTACCTCAGCCCCAGGCAGGTGATTAGCCCAGCTGGGCCTGGGGGGGCTAATCCCCTGTGACAGACCTCAGCCTGGCCCTAAGGGGTTTATCCTGCCCATAAAGAGATCATTTTGGCAGGGCTAATCCAGTTCCTGCACTCAAGGAGGTCACTGGGCCGTGCACATCCTCCCAAGGGAGGTGGGGAGAGCAAACCTCAGGCTGTGTCATTGCATCATGGAATCACTGAGGCTGGAAATGGTCTCCAAGATCATCAAATCCAACCACTAACCCAACACTTTGGGCAGGAGGGTCCTAGGGTGGGGGTTACTCCCCAGTCTGCTCCTGTCCCAGCACTGGGATTTATGGCCCTGTTGCTGCCAGGATGAGTCTGGCTCTTCCCAACGTTCTGCAGGTTGAATTTTTGCTCCATCACCCAGCACAGTTTCCCCCTGGGACAGGTTCTGGAGGCATCACAGGCTCCTGAGAAGAGCAGTGACAGGACCCAGGGAAGGGCTGGAGCTCTGTCAGGGGAGGGTTAGGCTGGAGATTAGGATAAGGGTCTTCCCCCAGAGG